TGATTTCGAATTATGGATGCCAAAGATGAATAAATTCATTTTGGATGTTTGGTGATAAATATGAGACAGCTCTTGGCGTTTCTGTGATATTTTTTAGATGAGTAGTTAGCAGTGGATAAAACTGAGCTACAAGTTTAAGCAAAGATAATAAGTTTCCGATATTTGTACCGTCTTGAAGCGCTAGATTTTCAACATGACCACGTAGAGGAAGAATTTGTATAATCAGATACTTCATACAAGCTAATATATCCGTTGCAATATATTTCGCCATTAGATCAGGGATTAATTTCTAAGATTAGAAGTGCCGGAGCCCTATGGAAGACCGTCAGCAGAGAGGAACACGAGTAAATAAATAAATAAAATGACTATTAAACTCATTAATAAATTTAAAATTAAATAGTTAATTATTATTAAATTAATTAATACCTATTTAATTAACGGTTATTAATTGTTATATTAATTAATTATAATTTACTTGATAATTATTAGATAATTAATTAATTATAATTTAATTGATAACGATTATATAATTAATTATTATTTATTGAAATAATTAAAGAGTGAAGTAATTAACTAATAAAAATTAAATAAAATGCAAAGAGATAAATTGAAATTTAATATAGTAATTTTATTGTTAAAATAAAATTTTCAAGATAAAATTTCTACTGAAATTGTTATTTAACTACATAAAAGAAGTGCTGCAGCCTTCTTATTCAGGGCTCTGGTGCATTACGGCTAGAATTATAATTTATTACAAACACTAAGAAGCACCGGAACCGAAATTCGGTGGGTTCCGGCCCAATTTAAGTTCTAATCGTACGGAGGGGAGTTCTTTTATCATCACAAAAATTAAATATACTTGAAGTATAGCTGATGAAAATTCCAGATAATCTAAAAGCAGGGGGAAACGGGTAATGAAGGCGAAAAGGTATGAGTGGGTGGAAACAAAAAATGAGGGTAATCTTGGTGAGAGAGAATGTTCTCTTTGACTGCGGCTCTCTGTTGATATAATTATAGCCATCAAGCAGATGGGTGTCAGGGGTAAATGAGTCTTAAATCGGACTCCTAAATGTTAAGTTGCTGGTTACCCTTCCACCCCATTAGTGGATACTGTGGGAAGACAATGTATAGGACGTGCTTGAGCAGTATTTCGCTCTTATTGTACTCGCTGTCACTTAACGCACATTTAAGAACACAAATTTTCCTTTCTGCAAGGATAACTAACTGTAAGCATCGATAACAATACACTAGTTACAATGGCATGGCGAGATATTTAGGCGTTCCTAAACAAACTCCCCCAAATTTATTGCTTTTCTTAAAGGGAAAGGTTTCCGCGAGTGAGAAGACTTTACTTGAATGTCTCATGTTCTCATGAGTTCGTATTTCTAGGGAAATAGAGTATTGCAAGGTCTGCTTATTGTTAAACTAAAACATTAGGAATTCTAAATTTTGTTCCCTTTAAATTGTGATTCAGTTTTATAAAAAGAAGTACCGCAGCTCATCTTATTTAGGGCTCTGGTGCACTCCGGCTAAAATTGTAATTTATCTTAAAAATTGAGAAGCACCAGCGCAATTTAAGTACTGCATTAGATACAGTTCTTTTTCAGACTATACAGTTCATGCATTTTCATTTCAGGTATACAGGTTTCATTTCAGACTATACAATACAGTTTTTCAGACTGTATATTTGTTTCTAATGATTCATCGATTCTCGTTTTATTAACTAATCTTCTTTCCATGTTGTAAATGATTTTCAATGAATTTGACTTTTTTCGTGGCTAATCAATTTATCTTTTTTCGTCCATTTATTAAAACCAGATGCTGTTGTGAAAGATGACTGTGTAGCAGAGTTTGATGTAACAAACACTAAACAACAAAAGCAGTATGGTGCATTATTTTTTGGTGAATATAATAACCAAGATCGGTTTCTTTCAGTTCCTTCTTCTTCTTCTTTACCGATTTGATAAAACCAAGATTTTGGCATTAGATGATTAGCTGATGTTGCTATTGCATTTAGACTGGATTTGTTTTGAAATATGTCGGATCCACGAATAATCATTTTGGTGCAAAGATGGCTCGACATTATTGGATGATTATTAGAAAATTTTAAATAAGTAACATCTTTGAATTCCAGAACGTTCGGAATTGCAGTGAGGGTTTCTGTTGCATTTTCTGTACTTATTAGGTATGGACATGGATTTGGGACTTCTAATATACTTGGGCCCCCAACTTCATCATCTTTAGAGTATTTTATTTGTTGTGATGTGTTATCGCATACGTTTAGCAGCAACAGAAATACAATTCGAATCTGATTTTAGTTCTCTATCCTTCTTAACTTCTGGTTTTTGTTTTTGCGATTTGTTTATTAAATATAATTCCATTCTTATTTTGGAGTTCTGAACTTCTTTTTCTTGCTCTAGTTTTCTTTTCCGATTCTGAGAACCGCTATGTTTTTTTATTGGCATTGACATGGTCTAAATAAAAAATAATTTGTGACAGTTGCAGGAAGAGAAGTTATTAAAGAAATAAAAAGTCATTAAAGGCAATTACATACAATTAAAAATGGAAAATCTCTGCAACTATTAGTGATAGGCAGGGCTGGATTTAAACTTGATGAAGCCCTAAGCTATTTGAAAACTGGGGCCTTTTATAATTCTGTTATACTATATTTTAAATTTTTGGAGGGCCCTAAACTATAGCTTGTGTAACTTATACGTAAATCCAGCACTGGTGATAGGGAAATGGGAGTTGCATTTTTGTATAAAGTTTGTAGGATTCTCCACTGTGTAATGCTAAGTTAACGTTGAAAGTGAAGAATCTTAAGAGTTGATAAGCGAATAATCGCTTCAGTTCGTGTGACAGGAAACAACAAGATAGAAGGGAAAAAGAACTCTTTATTATTCAAATAAGATTTAACAGAACTCCATCTTGGAGTTGTACAAAAAAGCCGACATTTGAGCTTGAATGAAACTGAGAATTAAACTAATCTTAACTAAAGAGATATAGCCGAAGCTATCAAGATTCTAACGGAGTTGGCCCTTAACGCTAATTGACTGCGAAGCTATCAAGGGCCTAAAGTACAGCCGAGTGTAACAATAGCTTAAGAGAGAGTAGCCTAAAAAGGTGGACGCGTGCTAACCAGAATGTCTGGTATATATCTCTCTCAGACAGTAAAATTTCTCGGTTATATACCACTCTTCCTCATTAGTATTCAGACGTGATTCTAAAACTATGTTCGGCCGGAAGTGGTAAGTTGAAGTTAAGAATAGGAAAGTTTAACTCAAAATTTATCTATTAATAGAATTAACAAAATTTAACTGTTAATAGAAATTAACATAGTAAGCTAGCTTACTGCGGAAATTTGGGGGGGCTCTAAACTTGAAACAGAAAATTGGGGAGCTTAGGTTAAATAGTGTTTTTAAAAGGATTTATAAGCCTCTGGTATTAATAATCCCTTTGATTTTCCATTGTTATAAAGTATTTGAACTAAGAAATCTTTTTTGTAGGCTATTTCAACACTAGAATATATTGCATATGCTACATAAAAATAACAATGTTCTTATAATTTCAAACAATCAACTAGCATATAATAATAGCTAGTTATAATGCCTAAAATAGATAGTTTGGGTGAAGGTAGGCTTTCAACTGATGCAGAAACTGAATGTTAGCTAAGTACTAAATTCACATTATGATAATTATTTGTTAAACAATAATACAACTACTTTAGACAGAATTCCAATTAATTATACTATTACAAAGATAACTTGCAAACAAGGACAAATACTAATAAAGAGTTGCGGAGTATAACATAATATAAAGGTACGTTATTATATAAGGTACGTTATTATATCTTTGTAATAGTATAATTCACGCTTACTAAACAAACATGGCTGACACTTTTAGCAGCGAGATTGAGATTAATTGGAAAATAATATTTAAACCGCTTTACCCCTTGAAAAACGGTAGTAAGGACAGAAATAAAAGTAAATGAGAATACTAAATAAGCCTAGCTTGGCTGTCTTCGTGCGAACGGAATTGAAGCACTGGTATTTTTAAACTAAAAGTCAACAATAACAATTTCTGCACTTGGAAAAGATTCCCATGCATTCTTCGGTCTCTCATAAACACACTAACAGCAACACAGTGATTTGCTGTGGTGGAATATCTGTCGACGGTGCGGCTGTGAGGAAAACAGGCTTGAAACTTTGGCGGAATGTGGTTATCACATAACAATTTCAGATGCATTACACTGTTCACTGAATAATGGAATCGCCAAGTTGATGTTAAAAAGTAAAATGCATATCAAAGATTTTTATAGCTATAGTTTTATCAAGAAAATAAATAATTAATTATATTACAATAATTATTAATTTTAAATACATTTTCCAGAAATCAATCAAAATAAAAACTGAAATTTTCCGGAAAATCTTGTTTGGAGACAATTTGGCACCCCTCTGCGAGCAGCGCCAGGGGCATCGTGCACCCCCTTGCCCCCCTGTCACTACGCCACTGTATTGCGGTAGCAAAAAATTTAATTTTGAGTGTTTTGTGACTATATGATAGCCTTACTTAATTTATTTGAATTGGTGATTACACTTCTTTAATGTGAGATTTATCTTTCTCTGTTGTTTTTAACAGTTCTGTGTTGTATTCCTCCAAAACTTAAAGAGTTAAGAGAATAAGATTTTGATTATCACGAGAGAGTTAAATTTTGCTTATCAGAGTGTTTTGTTAGTAGTTTTAGTGTGTGTGTTTTATATACATGTATATATATATATATAGCGGAACCAAGTGAAGTTAAGAAGTGAGTTTAAAAGTAAAAAAGTAATTTTAATTAATTTTTTTCTAAGTAACAGTTAACTGTAAATACAAAAGTTGTTCTGTTCACCTTGAGAAAAACTGCAATATAAAATAGAAGCTGCTTGCGAAAATTGTATTTTAATTAAAGGATTATAATGAAAAAATTATTATTCAGAAATTACTTGGGCCAGAATACATACCAAAATTTGCCCATATGGGATGCTGAAAACTTGAACTAGGAAGAAGAATTAGATCTCCATGCTTCTCCCATTTAGATGGCACATCATTAGGCATATCAATACCTGTATCGGCAAAGAGATTCGCCAAAAGTTTGCTTAATGCTTCTTTTGGACTTTCCCATTTTTTCTCCCGTTTTGAATGTAACATTATTGGAGAACACTGAATTCCTTAAATCGAGAAACACAGGCGATCCGACAAGGTTAACGTACCATATAAAAATTTATACATAGATATCAGAAATTTATAAAAATTGATATATATATATCAGAATAGCTGATAACAGAAGCATTCATTGATCGGGGGAAAAAAAAAAGAAAAGAAAAGAGAATGCTGAAATTTCACATTGTTAACGTTAAGCAGACGACACATTTTTTCAATATAAGATGAGATGTGTTCTTCCTGAGATCTTATAAATTTCAAAAAGTGCAGATATAAAATGTCATGAACTGTCATGTGCCTGTTTTTCTCATTTTTAAAAATACAGAAAATTCCTGATTTTATAATTAACTGTGATCTGCATGAATAAAAGAAGAGCGGTCTTCTGAATAAAGGAAGAAAAAAAGCTGTTTAAAACTTCTTATAGTTTTAAAAATCAAAATATCCTGCAGTTTCAAAATAAATTTCCTTTCCAGAGCAAAAAACTTGCATTTTGAGCATATCTCAGATGATGAGTGAAAGCTAAAAATTTTATTTATGTAAATTTAAACTGTTTCAGCTGACTAGAAGAATTCAGTAAAAGTTAGTGAAATAATTGTTTATTCTAAGATTTTTTATAAAACATGAATGCTACTGATTCTCCTTTCCTTTTTTCTTTCTTTTAGAGAGATATCATTCGTTTATTTTATAAAATAAAGGTATACTCCGTGAACTTTTCGCCCTGCGGGTTAAAAGACTGAATAGTGCACCAAAATAAATTGATATTTGGTGTGAAGATATTCTTTGCCTTACATCCGCGTTTTTGTGTATTAGTTCTTTGTGTTTTTTTATGATGTCTCAAATCCAGACTTTGAGGAAGCAAGTGTTGCAACTACGTCAAGAGGCTAATATAAATCGGATTCCTGTATCTCAGGCTTGTGAGGAGTAAGTATTTCTGTGAAGTTTGCAGTGTTAGGCGTGGCCAAACACAAAAATTAATTTCTTCATTTTCAGCATGTTTTTAGCGTTATCTTATTTATAGATAGATTATTTCATAGTTATTTTTCTTTTTGGACATCGGAACTGTATCTTAACATGTATACCCTAATAATTCGGTGTCTTCCAAGAATCGAAAAGTAATAATAATCATAGATGGATTTAATTTGCCACCATATTAGAAGCATGACATAATCATCGTCGTTAATTTAGAGCAGCTTGTCTAAAATGAAATGAGACGAAATGTCTTCACTCTAAATACGTTTTAATATTTAACACAGTGTTAATAGGTTTATAACATACAATATCCAAAGCGGAAGAATCAATTCAATCATCTTAGTAATCTTTTCAACAGTATGTTTGTTGCCATCTTGTAACAACTAAAGGAAAAAATAACATTACTTACCTCGTTTTCATTTTTTAAATCAGTAGATGATTCAACTAGACTATAACTTCTAACGTTACAAAATTCTCCCCACCGTGAGTTTTTGGGAGAAAACTCAAAAATAAAGTAATAAACATTAGAGAAACAATTTTAAGAAATTTAAAAATGCGTAAACTATAGTTGGAATGATTAGGAAAATAATTGCCCATGAGGTATTTAGCCTAGAAAATCAGTGTCATAATTAAAAATTAATGTAAATAAAAATATATCTGAAATGGTCCAGCATTTTAAATTATGAGTTGTTAAATATCATGAGAAATAATATAATATTAGCGTTTTCCATCTGGAATCACCCTGATTAACTTCTGCATGCATTGCAGCTTCTAATAACAGCATAAGTTATGATTTAATCCTTTGTTAAATACTTCACATATTTTCAGTAATTATATAAAAGAAATATAGTTAAAGAGATTGTATGTACAGGAACTAATTTCGGCTATTTGATATAGAACTAACCATATAATTTTAAATAAATGTGATTGTTTATGATGTTCGCCAATCTATATGTGGATTTTAATTATTCGATTAAGGGATATAGGTTCTCCTACCCCAAGTTAAAATTTAAAAAAGGGAATATGTATAAGGTATTTTCTCCCTTCTTTCCTCATGCTTTCATAATGTAATTGGAAGCAATCTTGATACCTATTTGGGAAGTCCAAAGTTTGAATCACGGTTGGGGTATTATGCATTGCATTTTTTATGTTCCATCATCAATATAATCTAATGATTCTACTTAGTGTATTATTAAATACAAGGTATATTTTCAATAAATAATTAAAAATCATTTTTTACTTACTAGTGAATGCATCTGCACAAACTATTTTCCAAAGCTTCAGGCAAAAATAAACAGGTGCAATTTTGTTAAGTGCGTGTAGAGTATTATTCCATCAAAAGGTTAGGTTATTTAAATGGCAAAGCACACGAGTGATTAGCACTTCCTTAGCAAGTGCTGTACAAAAGAAAAGAGAAGCTTTTGTACAGCACTTGCTAAGGAAAACTGGCTCATGTTAAAATTGCAGTTGGGAAAACCATAAAAAGGGCAAGCCAGCCCGTTTGCTTAGATTTAAAGGAACTACTCTGATATGCGCCCTCAAGTCGCCAAATTTCTCGCCAAATATTTTTGGCGAGAAACTCTAAAAAGCCATATTACTATCTAAACTTTTCGTCTACATTTCGAACTTTAAGCCTAAATTGTCTCCAAAAACACAGTTTTTTTCATGCAAAAACTACGTTTTAAACACATAATTTAAGCTAAAAATTCCAAAAAAAAAAAAAAAATTTAGATAGCAAAACGTAAAGTTTCTAACCAAAATATTTGACAGAATCCATGTACACAGCGACATTTTTAACTTAAAAAAACATCTACGAATGGCACACTGTAGGCAACGAATGAATCTCCGAACTACGCACACCTCGCTTTAATAATTAACATAACAACAATAAATTTCAAAGAATACCATGTACACAGAGTTCGTTTTCAACTTTAAAAAACATCTACGAATTGCACAATCTACACTAAAAATAAATCAAGAATATAAACTAAATAAATTTCAGACAATTCAAACAAACCACAATAAAAACGGAAATTCATACCAAAAACAAGAATAAACATTCTACAAAATAAAAACAAAAATAAAATGCACTTACCATAATGAAAGCTTCTTTTAAAAGCAGAAATATCTTTCCCCCCTATCTTCTCAGATACAGAGCAAGCAAAGTCCAAATACATTCGTTAATAAATTTTCGCCAGTCACACACAACGTCTGTGAAGAAAACTTCCACGATTTTGCTATATCACATGCCTTCCTAACGATTCAAAATTTCGAAAGTAACAATAAAAACTTCCTCCAACGTTAACTTGCTACAACGAAAAACCAAGATCCAAACCTTAAACTCCGCTGACACCCACATACTTTATTAGCAACAATTTTACTGCAAACCCACACAAGTCTATCAGAAACACCATTTTTCGTCCGAGTTCCCATATCAGCTCTGCATTTCGGACACGTCAAACTCCATTTTAAAAGTCCCGACTCCCACAGAAATTCTAAAAATACACTACGATCTCCATAAATACATCCGTGAACAAAAGACTCGTTAACAACTCCAACATCATACCTTTTCATACTAAATTTACTCTGCACATAATCTAAAATACGCAGCTGAAACCTTCCCACCACGTCTGCCTTTCATCGCAACACAGGCCATTTCAAAAACACACGCGACACGAGCCAACTAGCAATTAAGACCAAACCAAAAGCTCCACCAAAAGACTTTTCAACGTCGACATGGTTGCCACACAATACGCAATCGCTCCAAAAACCAGCGCAAAACACATATCGTCACATTTGGTGAAATTAAGGTGTTTATCAGAGTTGTACCGATTTAAACTTAGGTTGAACTATTAATGTAAATGATCTCGCTGTTTGACTGTTGGTAGACTGTGAAATGCATAAAAACAGTCTTACCGTATTTATGCGAATCTAATGCGCATCCCCATTTTAAAACTTTAAATAATAAAAAAATTGTTTGTCGGCGAATGTAATGCGCATCAATGGTATGAGGAATTTATTGAATCTTATTTTATACAACAATAGATTTGTATATAAACTATCAATCAATGGTATGATAATTTTATTTAAATTTAGATACCATATTTTATGCAACAATAGATTTATACATAAAGTAGCAGAACATCGAATTAACCTATAGTGGGCTATTGTTATGTGAAACAATCACTGTTAATTACCACTACCGACCGTATGGTACATATCGTAAAGTATGAACATGAAATAAATCGTAACATTTCTATCTAGCTAACAGTTTCTACAATCAGTTATTAATAGTAAACGTCTTTATTCACTATTTTTGATGATAACATTTTTAGTCCCCTTCTCCGTAATGGTGTAGTTACGAGGCTTATCAAACCAAATTGGCGTCTCGTCAGCGATGTCAATTTGCCCCATTGAAAAATTCTTTTCCTTGCCAATTTCTGCTGCCGCCACAAGCGAACATTGCTCTCAGCTACGTTTAACTCTCTCCCAGCCTTTCTATTGCCATTTCTTTCAGGATAAAGAATTACTTTATGTTTGAAAGTAGCGTCATATGACATTCTTCTCTGCTTGCCCTCCATTCGTGACTACGACGTCATCGGCGAACTGCTGACGTCATCGGCGAACTTTGCACTCGAATCTAATGCGCACCCCAATTTTTGAGTACTACATTTGGCCAAAAACGATGCGCATTAGATTCGCGTAAATACGGTATATTCCATCTGAGATCATTCTGCATAATTCTTCAGTAAGTTCGAACTTGCAATAATGATAATAACCTGCCTGAACTATTCCTGAACTCGAAAAATAAAGAAGCATATTGTTCTTGAGAAGTGTCTGAAGATGACAGTTGTTGGCAGAAAAATGGCATTATTTTCTATTCCAAGACTATGCTGCATAATTCTCGAAGTATCCCCTATATGCTGTAACAGTATTAACTCTGAAATGGGCCTTTATTAAATGTAGCCCCTAGTTTCAGTATATAGTTAATATTATTTTTTTTGCAAGTACATGCAGCTGTATATACTATTTTCCATGGATTTGAATAGAAATAGAACATATATTTCAAAATTCAGCTGAAGACCAAAAATGTTGCAATTTGCCTTCAGAGCATCTAATAGAACGGAAAGAGCATGTACAAAAATGGTGGCATTGTGCATTCAGACTTACAGTTGGTTACCCATATAACCATATGAAGAATTGTTATGGTTACCACTGTGTGTTCTACTAAAGCGGTTGAGATAATACCAAAGTAATTG